CGGGATGAGCTGATGCAGAGCCTGGACTACAAGCTGAAAACAAGCAACACCAGCTACGTGACGGCGCGGCATGACGTGCAGTACTTCCCCAGCTCGCTGAGCTCGTTCTCCCCCACAACCTCTCGGGTCTGCCGCATCCCGCTGACCAGCGGCACGTCCTTCATCGACCCCGAGTCACGCCCAACCCCGCCTGCTTCGTCCAGCGCGTCCAGGTCTTCGCCAACGGCCAGCGCTGCGACGACATCAACTACTACGGCCGCACCGTGGCCGCGCACGACCTGCTGAAGGGCCGAGAGTACAACCGCAACAAGGCCATGGAGGGTTTCGACGAAGTGGACGACCCGCGCATCGCCCGCGCGGTGCACCAGGGCGGCTACGCGGACGTGCTGCTGCGCCCCACCGTGGTGGGCATCCTGCGCTGCGGGAAGATGCTGCCGCCGCAGCTGAACCTGGTGATAGAAATCGAGTTCGCGGACGCCACGACTGCGCTGTGGTCCGAGAACGCCGGGGCGCACCCGTCCGGAGCCACACTGAGCACCGACTTTGGAGCTCGCCTCGCAGGCGCGTGTCCCTTCCTTCTTTTCCCCCCCCTTTTTGGGGGGTTTTCCCCTGGTCAGGCCACACGCGTGGCGGTGCTCGAGGCCGAGCTGCGGGGCGAGAAAGCCTGGACGCAAGGCTTTCAGGCCCGCTGCCGGGCGTCTTTCCCCCCCCCCTGCCCTCCCGTTGCGCCCCGCCAGGCGGATGCCATCGCGCTCCGACGGGAGCTGGAGCAGCTCAAGGCTCATCCATCGACCGTTGAAATCGATCGGCTTCGCTTTCGTGCCAGGGCTCCGCGTCGGCGCCGCCTCCGAAGCGGGCTTGTGGCGGAGGCCTCGCCGTCGTTTTCCCCCTTTTTTTTCCGATCGATCCCTCGCAGGAGTGTGAGCCCGGCGCGACCTTCGACCTCGGCCTCGACCTGGAGGAAAAAGCGCTCGGGCCCGCGGCCTTTTTTTTTTGTTTCTTTCCAGTGCCGAGCGGGCACTTAGCAGTGCCGAGCGGGCACAGTGCCGAGCGGGCACTTAGCAGTGCCGAGCGGGCACTCTAGATTAGGAGCTGCTGCCACAGAAGGCCAAGGACTGGACACGTGGAGCAGGGCCGCTCCACTGGGCCTTTGCCCTGTACGCCCACCACGAGGTTGCAGATGGAGAACATGGCGGCGGCGCGGGCAGGGCCTTCAACGACCACCAGCACGACGGCATCGGGGCCCTCCGCTCCGCGAGCGAGGCCGTGAAGCGAGCCGTGGATGTCAAGGTGGTCGTGCACGAGCTGGAGGACCCGTGGGCATACGCGGCGGCAAAGTACCCCAACTTGGATTGGAGACTCAAGTCGAAGATGGAGTTCTCCGGGGCCACCAACTGCTCCAGCGCTGCAGGCAGCACGCATACTTGGACGGGCAGGGCAAACACCGTGGACTTTGCGAGCTGGCGGCGGCGCAGCTGGTCCGGTATGTTCCGGTGGAGGGGGGTGAGAAGAGGACCACCTACGAAAGCTTCGAGAAGGGAGGCTTCTGGCTGGTGCGAAACCGGGACGACTTGGGCCAGACCGTGGAAGACCTGATGCGCAAGATGTGTTGCCCGGTCTTCGAGACAGGCGATGAGAACTACGTGCCTTCTTCACCGGTCTGTCCTCGTCGTTCTGGGGCGTCTGGCAGGCCCGCAGATGGCGCCTCGACGGCGACGAGACACGGCACAAAATCCTCTTTTGCGACGGCATGCTGTACGATTTCAAGGAGCGTGTCCTCCGATCACCGATCCCCGCCGACCGCATGGCTTCCACGCAAAGGCGACCTCAGAGATGTGGCAGCCGAGCAAGGCGACCAAGCTCTTCGAGCACATCCTGGCTTTCTTGAAGGAGCATGTGGAGACGGGTGTGTCTGCTCGAGGCCAGCGAATGGCAAACAGGTCATCGAGTGCTTCGAGGAATTGGAGCAGGACGGGTGCGAGATCCTCCGTCTCATGAGCAGGGCCATCTCCGCGACGCCGCGGTTCTGCGAGATGTACTACATCTGGGGAAGCCAGGATTCCGGGAAGGACACCAAGGTGAAGATGTTGCACGCCTTCCTCGGTCACGGCAAGGACAACTACGGGGCGCAGCTTCCGGGAAACTATGTGGTGCAACAGACTCGCTACCTGACCGCGAAGGACGGACCCGCGCCTTACCATGCAAGGACTCTAGGCAAGCGGCTGGCCTGAGGATCTGGCGCCTCCGTCGAGTTCGTGCACGCTGAGGGCCAAAGATCCCCAGACCTCGACGGATACCTCAGCTTCTCTTCACACTGGATTCTGCTGGGTCAAATTGTTGCTGCGTCGCTTGGTCTCACCGTTTCCGCTGAACATACCGGCGATGCAAATGAGGATGCCCAACAATTTCTCCCTCAACTCGTGGCTGCCAAACCTTGTTGCAGTGGCCTCCGAGCACCAACCCGAACTTAGAATGTGTAAAGCTGCGGCTCAGAGCGTGCGCGGGAATCCAGGCCCCAAATCCAAAGGCAGCCCATTTCCTGCGGGATAATGTAAAACGTATATGCGGGGACGTCTTTTTTGCGGGATCTTCCTGGATCGTTCGCGTGCGCCAGACTGCTTCCATAGCAGATGGCAGACTGCATTGCGGTGTTGAAGGCCCCTTGCATCATGGTGCTTCCTTCATGAGTCATCTGGTTTGTGGTGTTTGACACCCCCCAGAGTGGACTCGCCAACACAAATTATTGCCGTGTCGCTTCGTCTGCTCGTGGCTGCTGCCGTGGCCTCCGTGCACCGACTGTGCAAAGATTCGCGTCACAGCGTGGCGCCGGAATCCAGGCCCAAAGTCCAAAGCTGACCGCATTGGGATGTTGAACCAGTTCCCCTGATCTTCCAACGAGCGTTTTTTTCTGCTCAAGCTGCTATTTGATGCGCTTTTTGCGCTTGCGAGCATTTTTTTTGGCAAACGAGCGCTATTTAGTCTTCGAGCGTTAGATCAGCCAACTGGAAGGCTGCTTCGCAAAGGAATTGAGGCTCCTTCGGAGCACACTTTGCGCAATGTGGTCAATGTTTTGAACAGAGCAGCAGCTTTCCTGGATGAGACGGGATAGGCCGCACAACGAGTGCACATTCCCGCTACAAAAGCGCAATTTCCCGCCACACGAGCGCACATCAAAAAGTGCTAGTTTTGTCACGCTCGGCGCCCGCAGCAAATCGTGCACATGAGTAGCAGAAAGAATGAGCCCACACGATGGACAGTTCCTTCTTTTTCGATGTCCGCATCCGAGCGTTTTTTGTTGAACCGAGCGCTTCTCAGATAAACGCGCGGTAATCTGCACGAGCGGAAAATAACGCTCATCGGAAGATTCAGGCCTGCGTGCTTGTAAGGCTTGCAAGGTAAGCGTTGGCAACATGTTCCGGCTGCGCGGCTAGCATGCTCCGCACGGATCCAGGTCTGTTTGGCGAGGGTACCGCCGCACCAGCCATGAACAATGGCATGGTGAAAGCTCCTGCTGAATTGCGTTTGACCGTGTCATCAAAAATGTGGCTTGTGACCGACGGAACGATTTCATCCACAATGCACAAATCTGGCAGGCCCCTTCCACCATGGTTGTTCCTTCATGAGTCATTTGGTTTGTTGGGTTTGCCCTCTCAGAAGGCTGACAAACGGTAGCTTGTGTCATTCGCGAAGTGTCGAAACAACAGCCGACTCGGCAGCCTATTTCCTGCGTGACAATACAACAAATATAGCCGGGGAACGTGCTTGGAGCCACGCAGGGTGTGAAAACCCACAGCAACTTGGGGGTTGCAACGCAATCCGGCAAGCTGGCCAAGTGAAGCACTCCGCCTGAGGTTGTGAGCTGGGACTGGTTCAAAGCCGAAGCCTGTTTGATCTTCCTGGATCGTTCGTGTAGCGCCAGCTTGGATTTTGCACTGGCCCCTATGGGAACCCACCATGCTTCCTCTTGTTTGTGCAGTGTCTTTCCAACCGTAGCAGCTGGCAAGCTGACCGCATTGCGATGTTGAAGGCGCCTTCCACCATGTTTGTTCCTTCATGAGTCATCTGGTTTGTTGGGTTTGCCTTCTCATGATGCTGAAAAATGGTAGGCCTTCGGTCATTCGCGAACTGTCACGTAGCCTTTCCTTTGGGCTTTGCGCGGCGCCGGTCCAAGTCTGTTCAAGAACCAAGGCAAATAAGAAACAACAGCCGACATGGCAGCCTATTTCCTGCGTGACGATGTAAAGAATCTAGCTGGGGACCGTGCTTGGAGCCATGCAGGGTGTGAACACTTGCAGCAACTTGGCTTTGTGGCTCAACATGTGTGGGAAGCGCCAGAGGCCGAGGTCTTCTTTGCGGGATCTTCCTGGATCGTTCGCGTGCGCCAGACTGCTTCCATAGCAGATGGCAAGCTGACTGCATTGCGGTGTTGAAGGCCCCTTGCATCATGGTGGTTCCTTCATGAGTCATCTGGCTTGTGGTGTTTGACGCCCCCAAGAGTGGACTCGCCAAAGCAATTTGTTGCCGTGTCGCTTGGTCTCACCGTTTCCGCGGAACATACCTGCGATGCAAATGAGTCTGCCCAGGAACGATTTCACCCTCAGCTCGTGGCTGCCAAACCTCGTTGCCGTGGCCTCCGAGCACCAATGCGAACTTCCACTGTGTAAAGCTTGCCGGGGCAGCGTGGCGCGGAATACTACCAATGTACAGTGAGACCGCTTGGTGAGGTCAGGCCCTGTGCTTAGCGTTGGAGAGCCTTGCTTGACAAACAAATACCTGGTTCAACGCCTGTCCAAGAGAGGCCTTCCGTAGGCACTTGGAATTCAATAAATGCAGGCTGGGGTTGATTTTTTACGCCGAAATGCGTGGCATTGTCGTATTTCCCTTCCAAATAGGTCGCATGAGAGAGTAATCGCTGTCTTACAGGATCTGACTACGTACGTCCAAAGCGCTGCGATGTCGCATTTGTTCAAATGCGGTCAGTCAAACTGCGCCTTGCTGTTCAACATGTGTTTTTCTGGCTCAGCACCTGTCCGCCCAGAGAGGCCTTTCGCAGGCACTTTAAATGCAAAGCGCCAACAATGCCGGCCGGCGTTGATTGCTCATGCCGACACGCAGCTCGCGCAGGCCGTTACGCATGATTTGGCCCACAGTGCAACGCAACGGCCGTTTGTTGAATCCAGGCCCAATGTCCAAAGGCAGCCTGCGTGACGGCCAAACAAAAAATCACCAGGGACCGTGCTTGGAGCCATGCAGGGTGTGAATACCTGCGGCAACATGGCTTTGTGACTCAACATGCGATGAAAGCCCAACAGGCTGCAACGCAATCCGGCAAGCTGGCGCGCCAGCTTGAAGCACTCCGCCTGAGGTTGTGAGCTGGGACTGGTTCACAGCCGAGGCCATTTTTGCAGGATCTTCCTGGATCGTTCATGTGCAGCTTGGATATTGCACTGGCCCTATGGGAACCCACCATGCTTCCTCTTGTTTGTCAGTGTCTTTCCAACCGTAGCAGCTGGCAAGCTGACCGCATTGCGATGTTGAAGGCGCCTTCCACCATGTTTGTTCCTTCATGAGTCATCTGGTTTGTTGGGTTTGCCCTCTCATGATGCTGACAAATGGTAGGCCTTCGGTCATTCGCGAACTGTCACGTAGCCTTTCCTTTGGGCTTTGCGCGGCGCCGGTCCAAGTCTGTTCAAGAACCAAGGCAAATAAGAAACAACAGCCGACCTGGCAGCCTATTTCCTGCGTGACGATGTAAAGAATCTAGCTGGGGACCGTGCTTGGAGCCATGCAGGGTGTGAACACTTGCAGCAACTTGGCTTTGTGGCTCAACATGTGTGGGAAGCGCCAGAGGCCGAGGTCTTTTTTGCGGGATCTTCCTGGATCGTTCGCGTGCGCCAGACTGCTTCCATAGCAGATGGCAAGCTGACTGCATTGCGGTGTTGTCCCTTCCACCATGGTTGTTGATGTTGAAGGCCCCTTCCACCAGGTTTGTTCCTTCCAAGACAGCTAGAGCTGTAATTTCAGCTGACCCCGCATCCTGGGACCGTGCTTGGAGCAACACTTGCAGCAACTTGGCCCGACCAGGCTTCCTCTTGTTTGTGCAGTTTCTTTCCAGCCGTAGCAGCTGGCAAGCTGACCGCATTGCGATGTTGAAGGCCCCTTCCACCAGGGTTGTTCCTTCCAGACAGCTAGAGCTGTCATGCTACAGCTGTCATGCCTTCGCCTTGGGCTTCCAGTCCAAGTTTGTTCAAGAACCAAAGCAAGCAAGGGACAACAGCCGACCTCGCAGCCTATTTCCTGCGTGACGATAGCCGGGAACCGTGCTTGGAGCCACGCGGGGTATGAACACTTGCAGCAACTTGGCTTTGTGACTCGCCCAAGAAAGAGGCCGCTCTCTTGTGATGCTGACTAATGGTAGGCCTTTTTTATGGCTATTCAAGCAATGCGCTCAAGTCTCCACCACCATTCTGGCAAGTCCGCCCAACAGTTTTGCCAGCCAATCAAGCCACATGTCGCAAACAGACTGGAGTCCAAACAATGTCCATGGTCAACGGAAGCAGCTACAAGCGTTCTTTGAAGGCGATCGTCGCATGGAACAAGAATGAACTGCCCAATAAGCAAGCCGCAGAATTGGAACGTGGAAACGCTCTTTGGAATGGGCCCACAGACTGGTGCTGCAGGTGTTTTGCCTAACTTCCTTCATAAGCTGGGAACAGTCTTGTGGGGCGGGTAGGCCCTTGCTTGGCAAAGGGGGCTTTAGGGGGCTTTGCTGAAGGTTGAAGGGCTTTGACCTTTGTGAAGGTGATTCCCAGCCCGGGAAGGGACAGACAAAGCCAACGCAGCCTTTTGGCTTGTGACAGTCGACATTTTAGGCAGACCAGACTGGATTTTCTACTGGCGCCTATGGGAACCCACCATGCTTCCTCTTGTTTGTGCAGTTTTTTCCAGCCGTAGCCGCTGGCAAGCTGACCGAATTGCGATGTTGAAGGCTCCTTCCACCAGGGTTGTTCCTTCCAAGACAGCTAGAGCTGTCATGCTAGAGCTGTCATGCCTTTGCCTTGGGCTTTGCGCGACGCCGGTCCAAGTGTGTTGAAGAACAAAGTGTGAACACTTGCAGCAACTTGGCTTTGTGACTCAGAAATTGTGGGCTGCAACGCAGTCCGGCAAGCTGGGGTGTTGTGAGATGGGACTGGCTCAAAGCCGAGGCCTTTTTCGCGGGATCTTCCTGGATCGTTCGGGTAGCGCCAGATCGGATTTTCCACCGGCCCCTGTGGGAACTCTCCATACTTCCTCTTGTTTGTGCTTTCGCAGAGGGGCAGTGGCAAGGTCTGCAGTCAATATTCTGGGTGAGCGGCCCCCTGCTGGCTGCTTGCCTGCGGACAGGAATAACCAAGGAAGTGATAAGATGGCTTCCTGCAACCAAACGAATCTTGATTCTGAATTATATTATGGGTGCATGCGAAGAAAGCTCTCATCATTCCTTATCCCTTCACCACCTATCCACTGTTGATTGATAGGTTTGGAAGTGGATAGGGATGATCAGGGAGAGAGGACAAGGACCAACCGATGGTGAATGATAAAGAGAAAGCCAATTCTAGTAAAGATAGAATGGTGCTTCTTATCCCTTCATGATGCTTTAATTATAAGACTTCAACATGGAAGGATGATGACTCAACATGGATTCGTTTACCAGGTGAGTGACTCTTTGGCGCGGCCTGGAGTCTAGCTGCCGTCCCAGGCCGTTCGAGTTTCTCCGTGGGTCTCCCCCAGCCAGGAAAGCGGCAGCAGCTTTTGTGCCTTGTTTCGCCATGCCTTTTGAGCATTTGAACCTGCGTGGGCCAGCTGGAATTGTGGGGCACGTATGTCCATATTTGTTCTGGCCTGCCAGCTTCGATGTCCCATTTAACCACGAATGAGTCCCTGCGCAGTGCAGGGTGAGCAATCACCAGCAACTTCTCCCATGTTGAAACATCCCGTTGTAACAGCACAAGTGTGCACGGTGTGCGATTCCGGCCATGGCGTTTTCAGCACAGGTCGGATTTTGAAGACTTTTTGTCAACGGGTCGCGGCGCCTGGCTGCCCATAGGGTTTGACCGCTCCCATGATGCAGCCTTGTCACGCACGTGTTGCGTGCCACGGCAAGAACCGCTGGAAAGGCTCCGCTTGATAGAAGGCCATTGGGCAGCAAATTTTCAATTCCAGTGGCATCACTTTGCTGCACGCCAGCACATGTGACTGCGACTCATACTGTAAATCTTAAAATAACACTTGCTAAAGCGCGTCAAGCTTCCATGCCTGGCTATGCATTTGGGACATGTGTTGTTGCTGTCATGCATGGATTCACTGCCAAGCCTTTGCTTTCAGCCTGCAAAGAAAGAGCGCGCTCTGTTTGCGAGCGAGCCTTCCACTATGGCAGTTCCTTCATGAATCACCTGGTTTGCGTCTGCCCAGTCCCATGATGCTTGCTAACCAATGGCAGGTCTTTGGTCGTTTGCAGAGGCGCAGTGATGTCAAGGTCCCAGCTTGACCTGCAATGTGCGACGTTTCCCGGAAGAGACGTGAAACGAGGAAGTCTTTGAGCTGGGACCCTGCAATACCCTTTCCTCATAGCCTTCTGGTTTCAACAACAAGGCTTTTTTGGCGGAATCTGCGTGGATCGTTCAGGTGGCGCCAGACTGGATTTTCCAATGGATCACCGATCCGTCAAGAGACAAAATCAAAGCAACCTGGGCTAAGCAGAACAAGCGTTTGTGCCTGGCTGCTTTTTGTCTTTTGCAGAGCGCAGTGATGTCAAAGGTCCCAGCTCATTCGCAGAGGTGCTGTGACGTCAAGGTCCCAGCCTGACTGCCTGCGAGAAAGGCGCTCAGCGGCGGCTGGCGTTGGGCCTTGTGCAAGGCTTGCCGTCAAGAGCTTCCGTGCCAACATCAGTGCTTGTGAGAAAGGTGGGCAGTGGCAGCAGAAATTGGCATGCCCTCGGCAAAAGTTCCGATCGCGTGCCTTTTCTTGGCAGGCAACAAGTCGGCAGATCCAATAACAGTTGCCAGATGCGGATGACTCAACTTTCTGAACTCGTAGGTGAGCCGTGCGCATGTGGCCTTCCGCTAATGTGGATGTGGCAGATTGGGTCGCCAGTTGCTCGTGGCTCGGTGGCCTGCGCAGATGCAGCGTTGAGCGGCGCCAGATTTGCAAGCGTGGCCGGGCCAGGCCTTGCCAGATCTCAGAATCGCGCGTTGCCTTTCCGCAGCATGGCGCACCAGATCCGGGCGCAGCGGCTCAGCCAGATTTCATCCCATGCCAGCTGGACAGTTTGGGCAGGAAGCAGCGTTGCGCGGCGCCGGTCCAAGTCTGTTCAAGAACCAAGGCAAATAAGAAACAACAGCCGACATGGCAGCCTATTTCCTGCGTGACGATGTAAAGAATCTAGCTGGGGACCGTGCTTGGAGCCATGCAGGGTGTGAACACTTGCAGCAACTTGGCTTTGTGGCTCAACATGTGTGGGAAGCGCCAGAGGCCGAGGTCTTTTTTGCGGGATCTTCCTGGATCGTTCGCGTGCGCCAGACTGCTTCCATAGCAGATGGCAAGCTGACTGCATTGCGGTGTTGTCCCTTCCACCATGGTTGTTGATGTTGAAGGCCCCTTCCACCAGGTTTGTTCCTTCCAAGACAGCTAGAGCTGTAATTTCAGCTGACCCCGCATCCTGGGACCGTGCTTGGAGCAACACTTGCAGCAACTTGGCCCGACCAGGCTTCCTCTTGTTTGTGCAGTTTCTTTCCAGCCGTAGCAGCTGGCAAGCTGACCGCATTGCGATGTTGAAGGCCCCTTCCACCAGGGTTGTTCCTTCCAGACAGCTAGAGCTGTCATGCTACAGCTGTCATGCCTTCGGCAGTGGCAGCAGAAATTGGCATGCCCTCGGCAAAAGTTCCGATCGCGTGCCTTTTCTTGGCAGGCAACAAGTCGGCAGATCCAATAACAGTTGCCAGATGCGGATGACTCAACTTTCTGAACTCGTAGGTGAGCCGTGCGCATGTGGCCTTCCGCTAATGTGGATGTGGCAGATTGGGTCGCCAGTTGCTCGTGGCTCGGTGGCCTGCGCAGATGCAGCGTTGAGCGGCGCCAGATTTGCAAGCGTGGCCGGGCCAGGCCTTGCCAGATCTCAGAATCGCGCGTTGCCTTTCCGCAGCATGGCGCACCAGATCCGGGCGCAGCGGCTCAGCCAGATTTCATCCCATGCCAGCTGGACAGTTTGGGCAGGAAGCAGCGTCCACTCAGAGGAGTGTAGGACTTGGCTTTGAGGCAAGCGGTGTGGGATCTGGGGCCCTATATCGAGGCTGCCTATCAGTCGATCGTCAGCGCCTATCGTCAAAACGGCACATCCGAGTTCTTTTGGGATCTACCCTCTTTTCAACAATCATGGAAGTGGATAGGGGCTTCATTCCTTAAAAGGAAAGTAGTCTTGCAAAATCCTCGTGTCAGCTTTCACGATTGTTGGAAGGGTACTTACTGGTTGCTTCGTTGATTGCTAGATTTGGGCAATAAGTTAGGTTAGGTTTTGCTCGGGGCAACATATTGCTTTGATTGTGTCAAGCTGCAGAAAGGGCCTCTAACACTTTCATTGTAAATGTTGACCTTGGACGGGACTCCTGTGCTGCCGCAAGCCATAACTCAGCAGGCCTTTGCCTGGTTAACTGGTTTCCAGGATTTGAGTTCTTGATGATGCCAACATGATAAAGTCAGGTTCTCCCCTCTGAGTGTTGGCTTCGGAAGCTGCGGGGCCTTCCCATTTGCTTTGATCAAGAATTCCAATCCAAGCCAACTCAAGCCACCAGTTTGGGGTACAGTGAGACAGGGTCAGTGAAGGCTTTCGGCTTTCTGAGAGATCAGCTCCACGACGCCTGGCGCGTCAACAGATCAGTCACTGCCAGGCGCGTCAACAGTTAAGGAAAGGCGACCAGGTTTCAGGCAGAAACATCTCAGACCCCCCAATGGCCCAAGACCCGTGCCCTTTTTGATGTGTGACGGGGACTTGGAACCCCGGGTAGCCCGGGCAGGGCGTGAGTGATTTGCTTATGCGGGGAATCGAGAAGTGTAACAGCTGAATTACATGACGTAGCCTTTGCGAAGCAAGCTCTCTCCACAAGGTCGTAGTGGTAGAAACGACGCATAGTCCTTTGGGCAAACATGTGTGGATGCTCCTGAGTCAATCAGCAGGTGGTGGTCTGACTTGAAGTTGGAGCACATGATGTAGTGAGTGATGTTGTCATCAATTTGATTTTGTTTCTGCTGTTGTGCTGCTGCTGCTTTGCCGAAATGCAGTTGTGTTGTGTCCTCTTGTAAGTGTTGTTGGAAGTTGTTGCTGCGGTCGTTCCACGATGTTGTGTGTGATGCTCTTTTTCCAAGTAGTGATTTGGGTTTATGCTTGCGTGGCAGTGTGATGTGTCCAATTGTGAGGTGTGACTCGTTGATGCCTCCAATGTAGCTTGCTGCATCTTCATAGGCGTTGTCGTTCCAATCCCAGCTGTTGTCGTATTCGTCGTCGTTCCAATTCTCCTCCATGTAGTTCACTTCCAATTCTCCTCCAGGTGCCTGCTCACAAGAAGATGAGTGGGGCTCTGCGTGACATGGGCTTTCGAGGTGTGATCAGTTTTCTAGAAAAGGATGGGCGCAGAGATGATCATGCCACGCCAGAAGAGACCCCCCCCAACAGCAGTCGGGGCGCGGCGCGTCTAAAAGAGTCGCAGAGTTCACGGAGCACCTGACGCAGAACAATTTGAAGACCCCACTGTTGACTTTCCGAGGCAGACAGAGACAGTCAGAGACAGCCCGAAACAGACAGAGAAAGACAGAGACAGACAGAGACGGACTCTTTGCGTGGGTTTGCTGTCCTGCGGTTGCAGCGCCGTTGCCTCATGTCTACGCGCGAAAGTAGCGCCCAAAATGCATGTCCGATTTCCCGACCTGCGAGTTTGGCAAGTCCCATTGTCTAAGTACACAGGCGGCGCGCAAGGTGCACTTTTGCAGGGCATTGAAAGTATGATTTGCCTTCTTGCAGATTCTGTACGCAGACAAGCGTCAGGCATGTGCCCCTACATGCCTTCGCAAGGCACAGGCAAGTTTCGACGGCCCAGCTTTGTCGCACATGCGCAATGGATGCAATTGACCCGTCGTACCCGGTTCCTCGTTCCAAGTACACAAGTCGTACGTACGCAACTCGCAAGCGTTCTAAAGCTACATCATGAGCAAACAGCAAATTACTGCCATCAAAACAACCGTGGGGAGTCGCATGTGGCGGACACTTTTGCACCTGACTCGACCAATCTACGCAGAGGGTTGATCCGTGTGCAGGCCAGGTAGCCTTTCCCGTGGAGTTGGGGGCGTTAACACGCATACTCTCCGTGGAGGGTTCACTGCGTGCAACGCAAATTGGCCGGGGGCTAACGCAAGCGCGATCTGACACTCATGCTTGACAGAGAGGTCCCGGCGCGATCTCACATGCAGCGTTCGCCCGGGTTCGCAGTGAACAGTGCCAAAGTGCTGTTTCTCGCGGGCGCGCGGGCGCGCGTGTTTCTCGCCTGTGTTATCGTTACTTACGATTTTACTCACTGTTTCTGCTCACCTGTATCTTGCTCAGAATATGTGTCTTGGTCGCGCGAATCTTGCTCATGTGCCTCCTGCTTGTATAATTTATATATTTATATATATATATACAGATTATATACATATTTGTTTACTTGTTTGTTTATTTATTTGTGGCTTTGATGTCACTGACCTATACTTCATGCGCAATTCCTTTTACAGATTACTCTGCTGCAAGAAGCTCAAACAAGGTCATTCAAGGTATCTCCTTTTATTGAGTAGCTATGATGTCAGAAGCTGAACGTTTCTAAGGCTCCAAAACCAGCAGAGGCTCAAAAGCTGCAAAAGTCCAAAGCTAAAAGCTTTGAAATCTGCATAGGCTCAAACAAAATGCAAAAAATGCAAGCGTCTAAACCAATCAAGCTCTGACCTCTGACACTGCATCTGGGTTTTGCATTTTCTACATTCTTTTGAGCCTGTGCAGGTTTTGGAGCTTTCAGGTTTGGATTTTTGAGCCTGTGCGTATTTTAAGAAGGCAAAACTCCAAAACCTGCGCGGGCTCAAACAAATGCCAAAAAACAATAGCTAAGCTCTGAAACCTGCACAGGCTCAAAACAGTGCAAAATAGGAAAAACTAGACCAATCAAGCCCTGACCTCTGACATTGCGTCCGGGGTTTGCATTTTTTGCATTTTTTGAGCCTGCGCATGTTTTAAGAACGCAAAACTCCAAAACCTGCACAGGCTCATATTAAATGCAAAAAACGATAGCTAAAAGCTCTGAGACCTGCACAGGCTCAAAAAAGTGCAAAGAATAGAAACTAGACCAATCAAGCCCTGACCTCTGACATTGCACTGGGCAAGGTCTACAACTGGGGGATGTGTAGGCCTGGTCAGGCCTGCCGACCCCCCTTCCGCTTTGACCAAGGCCTGCCACCACCCGTGCGTAGTCTAGGCCCACCAACCCACACTTACAGGCCAAAAGGCCCACCCCGTCCGTAGGCCTTGCGACAGCCTATCCACCCACTTCTGCAGCTGGCCAACCATCTAGACCTAGGTTCCCAGGCCTATCCACTTGCCTTCAATCCCTCCCCCCCTTCCACAAGCCCAGCCAAGGCCAATCCACCCCCGTTCCGTGGGCTAGGCCTGCCAGCCTGCTGCAGTGGCCCGCCGACCCACCTACCGACCCTCCTCCATGGAAAACCTCAGGTCCTGTAGTGCGATGCGACGCGCTGTATGCGTGTCGGCGTGTCATGTGAAGCTTGTATGTGTGTATGTTTTCGTGTGTGCACGTGTGCGTGTGTCTATGTGTGCATGTATGTTTGTATGTATGTGCCTTAGGCCATAATCCTAAGGGCAGGTTCTGAGGGTCACCCTGTTCTCTTCCCCGTTCTTTAAGGTCCCTCAAACCTTTGTGGGAATATTGTTGTGAGAACAGCCGACTCATGCATATGGATGCTTTGGCTCAAGTGAGTCATTCGGCTCATGATTCAAGGCTAATATCCAACGTGCAGCTGTGAAGAGAAGCAAAAGGTTGGTGCTCCGCTGTCGCTGAGAGTCGTGAGACGACGCAGACCATTTTCCTTACAACCCCTATTTACAACGAACAATACTATACGACTTCACCACGGTCGCATCGAACCGGAGGAGCACTTGAACAGTGAAAATAGCGACCATGTCGGGCCAGCCAGATTGGAATTCCAACGTCTGACCGTTGACCGGATTGTGTATGAAAAATCCAAACGGTGAAATTATACCAACGTGGAGTCGCCGCCGATTAGAATAAATTTGCCTTTTGTTGTGCAAAGTGCCACGGCCGGCAAACTAACAATGTGGCGATGGTACTTGTGCAGTACCCTTGTTGGAGAAGCAGATAATCCCGGACCAACCAGCTTGCCTGGAGTGTGCGTCAGTGCATTTAATCCGACCTCAGTGCATCAGAAATCCACACACCTATCGCAATGTGGCGATGTGGTGCTACTCTTGCAACAAAGCAGGCGCACTACGTGTGCTGGGAGTGCGATCAGTGTGGTCACCAGTTGAGCCCCACAAGACTAGCGACTGGTCCACAACCTCTTTCCGAGGAGCAAGCCGCGGCACAGCCTGCCTGAGTAGGTATCCCATGCGGGAAACGCGTGACGTATTCCCTGCAGCGTGAAGCGAATCTCGGAGTGCTATGTCCAGATAGGGGCGTTGCAGATTCGAATAATAACCCTTTATGGATTTGCCAGAGGAACACTGAACGGACTTTCAATGACGAACTTCTCGCTCGAGGCTGCCACGCAACGCATGCTGTTGAACCGAACCCCGACCATAGTTGGAGGGGATTTGAACCGACCGGTGAATACGCTAAAGGCATGGACTCCGCTCCAAAGCAAAGGATTCGTTGAAATTCACGAATATGCCGCAAGTGCGCTAGGAACGGTGACGGACCCAACTTGCGTGTCACGAGGTGCAGATGGTCCTGGTACACGAAATGGCATCACAGCAGCAGTGGAACATGACTGTGACCAGTATCACTTCCTTGCTGCCAACGCCAGACGGAAAAAATTGAGCAAGAACTGGAAGTAGACTGGGGCCAGCAAGGAGGGAAATTCACTTGCCGAATTATAAAACAACAGCCCACACCCATTGCGAGTCACTTGGAAACTTCTGTGTCTGTTGATTTGGTAAGGTGCGGAGTTCAGGTAAAATCACCACCGCGTGTGTACGCATTGCACG